ACAGTCCACCCTGCCTTCTGTTTCAGATGGGATTAAATTTGCAAGTTGAATGCAGAGATGTCTTGAGTAGCATAGTGATTATGCATGCATCAAATCAGCTGCCTCGATGGGAATATCCCGCAAGCTAGCCATCGCCACATCTCCTTTGTGGTTATGAAAATAGGATGGAACAATGCATTTTGGCAGATTTAACCATGCATTTTCAAGAATGCTTTGATTTAATAGATTTCTGGGCCCGTGGTTTGCCATTTTCAGTTCAACTATAAAAAGCCTCGCATGGCAACAGAAATGATCATGATGGTACTCAGAGATTACATTCACGGGATTGCTTTTAGTCTTGTGGTATCCAAAGTTTCTTTTCCAGGGGTGTAATTCCTGCTATGATAATAGACTGGGAAAGTCTTGTGTGACACTACTGCCCATTCAAAAAGTGGCACACATTTTACTTTCTCCCTCCCGCCCAAACTCAAACTATATCCACATGTATGTGTATCATCACGTTTTCAAGAATCTTCACTTTTGAGTTAGTACTGTCAAATACTGGGTTTTGCTCTTTAAAGGGTTACAGTGCTTAGAAAGAGAAACTGCTGGATATTTTTACCCTTAATCCAATAATGAAGTCAAACATAAGGATGCTTGTAGTATGAGGTTTAATTATACCGTTTGTAACCATAATTCCTTTTCGTCTACCCTTTCAGTACTGCAGCAGTAGAATACCCTGCACTCGGGGATGCTTGTCCGAGTGCTCTGCTTGCAATTGTTAGTGCTGGGAAATGACTGAGGCATGTAGATTGCCAAGGATTTTGATGCAGAAGGCATGTGAATTTATGAATTGATTGGACCGAACAGATAAATAGACAGCTGATTTGGATAACTTACCTTTAACTGGGTTTTTTGGTGTTTTTTGGGTTTTTTTTGCACTGAAGATTTCCCACTTTATTTGCAACCAAATATTGCATAGGGGATCAGGAAGAGTGCTGATCCCAGTGAAAGTGGCTTTAGCTTTTATTCTCTTGCAGACTTCATGTCACTGGTGTGAGGGTGTACAAGTGAGGGGGACCATCTGCTTTACATTTCAAATAACTGTCATCATCCTACAGCTAGGGAAGACTTGTGATTTTGGGGGGCGGGAGGAAATTACTTTTCTCCATGGTTAACACTTCTCCTGCAAATCTTGTCTTTCAGATGGGAAGAGGAACTGACGAGAAGAATGAGTCTGGAATCTATTGTAGAAACCTTGCGAGAGGTAAGTTTTGAATAGCGTGTATTGAAAGGTATAGGTTTTCTCTGCACCTTTTATTGTGCTAGTAATTACTTGAATTTGTTTAATTAAACTTTCTTCTAGCTAGAGCAGCTGACTGCATTGCTGTGTGCTAGAGAATAGTGTTCATGTTTGGAAGCTGAAGCAGGAAGGTGCTGAAGTTTGTGACAAAGTGAAATGTGGGGGTGGTGACCGTGCCTTATCAGCCCTGCTCAGGTTAAGTGGGGAAGCATATGTTGGCCTGTTACCTCTCTGAGTTCTTTGTGTGCTTTCTCTCGCAGGAGGCGCAGGAAGCGGAAGCTCTCCAGGAGGAGTTAAATGAAAAGATTGAGAGACTGAAAGCAGAACTTGTGGTCTTTAAGGGTCTGATGAGTGATGTAAGTACACTGGAGAGCGGAGTGGCCAGCTCCCACTGCCTTTGTGAAATGTGTGTGTCATGCAAATGGCTTCATTCATAAAAAGGTTATGGTCTTAGTGAGTGCTGCTTTGTAGTTAGCATTATGGCTGCCGTTATGATCTAATGCATCAGACAGATCACCCTTCCCCCTGCTTCCTGTCTGGTCTGTGTAGAGATGCATTAACTTGCTGCTTAGCCCATAACCCGGACTCTTCCCTCCCTTCCCCATACTCCACAGCTGGCAGTGCCGGCATTCAGATCTGCAGCCGTGGAAAACAATGTTGGAGAACTCGCAGGTTAGGGTAAAGGGTGCAGCACCATGCAGCACCACATACTGCTAACGGGGGATTTTGCTCTGAATCATGCAAGAAAGTCACATTCAAAAAGGAACACGCCGTATGTGTTTCCCAACTCCCTTTATGAAAGCTCTGAAGAGACTAGCCCCCTGTCACTGGTTCAGGTATCTGGCTTTGTCTTCAGTGCTGCTTCGAACTATTTTTATTTTTTTTAAAATACTTGCTTTCTCAGCAATTTCGTCATGTCTCATTAGATACTGACTTTCCTTCAAAGCTGGGGGACTATGACTGGATAATTTTCTTACATTCAGACATACTGAGAGCATGTACTCGTGCAGATACCTAGAAACTTAAGCCAGGTGAACATTAAGGTGCCTTTCTCTGTAAGACTGAAGTAGTGCTGATGCCAGTTGTCTAATGAATATGTCCAATTATGCTTATTTATACTGCAATTTTGTGTAGAACCGCTTCCTTCTGTCCTTATACAAGCTTGCAGAACCTGCTCCCTGGTGTCGAATACATTCTCTCAGGGCTGCTAGATCTGTTCATGTGAAATTCAGCAGTTAGCTGTCTCTTCTCGTGGTGTTTAAGGGAGAATAGGCATGCTTGGTTAGAGACAGTGTGAAAGGGAGAAACTTGTTAGGGCTCCATCACTGTGATGACTTTTCTGCTGAGGAAGAAACGTTGCTTGGTGTGTATAAAAGGGTGCTGGTGAATGCAAACATCCTCCTCAACTTGAGAGAAAGTGTGCTTTGGGTGTTGGGAACTCTGTAAAGTATGAGAGAGCCTAAGGAAATGCTTGTTTTGAATCCCACTGTGTAAATATTTAGAGCAGAGAAATGCAAAATGTTGACTCTTGCTTTCCTGTGGATAAGAATCGCTGGTACCTATTCACTTGATAAGATTGTGTTTGGAGTGTGTCAGCGTTTAGAGATTTCTTTTTCTCAATGTGTTTGGAAAACAAAAATCTCTAAATTGTGCAAAGGCAGCTGGCAGGGGCTGGAGAAGAACTCTTCTCTAATAATTTTAAAAAAAAAAAAAAAAAAAATCCAAACCTAAAGCTTTCTTCTTGGAAAAGGAGGTTCGGTATTTAAGAAAGCTGTGCAAAGAGTTTTTCTGCTTTTCTGGTCAAAGTGGAAGCATTGCCTAGCCATTGAAGTGGTACTTTCCAACAGAGTAAGTCTCGTCTAGGCTGGAAAATATGCTTTTTATGGAACAACGTTTCTTCATAAGGAGCCAGCTGTACTGTCTGAGTGGGAGTATCTTTTATAAATTATGTTTATAATTACTGCTCAGAGTGAAGCAAGACAAAATATTTTTCATGTAGAATTTTTGCTAGGCTGGAAGCCAGGTTAATGCCAATGAGGAATATTTTCTGTGTCACATACTTTCATGGATCTCTTTAGATCCGGTCTTGATTTTATGATCTCACATATACCTCTTCAGTATGTATGAAGTTGCTGCGTAGCCTGGATTCTGTTTTAAAAGCAACTTCTCCTTGCAGGCACCGTTTTGCATACTCACAGGTTTTAGATTTCATTCTATTCTGCACGTGCTCAACAGGGGTTTTCTCCTCCATTTTTTAAGCTTTATTGACCCAATAAAAATTTACTGTTGCCACATGTAGCAGTTGTTTTGGGGTGGGTATAGGTTTTTTGGTGGCAAATCAGTGAGTTGAAATTTTATTAGAATCAGGTATGAATGTTAATTGTTAGCTGTCTAGTCTATTTAGACTGTGCGTGTACTGCCTTTCCTGGCGAACAAGATGTAATATTGTTTAAGAATGGTATGCCCTGGGGTTAGAGAGATACTGTGGGGTATCTCTTCTTTCCTGAACTGTATAATAATAGAAGATAATCACTACTGTCCTTCCTGCAGCCCATGACAGACCTGGACACAAAGATTCAAGAAAAGGCCATGAAGGTGGACATGGACATCTGTCGGCGAATCGATATCACAGCCAAGCTGTGTGATGTAGCGCAGCAGCGCAACTCTGAAGACGTTTCCAAGATATTCCAGGTGATTAGGTCATGAATTTTCCATAGGGTAGGACAAGAGGGAGCAGTGTTAAGGAGTGTGGTCCAGGTCATTTTCCTTTTCTTGACATTTCTCTATGTAGACGTATTTTCTTCTTTCTTAGTCTTGAAGTGTAGCACTCTTCTGCAGAAGCTGCTGTAGTACTAAGAGCACAACATTTAGAGAGTTTAAAAAAAGAAGTCTCAGGATGACCTTTAAGACATGCTGTTAGTTTGATGCTAGTCTACAATGAATGCAGGGAAAAAAAGCGTTACAGGGTCTAGGTTTGTCTAAATGGCTTCCTCACATTTATTCCCTTCACAAGTGAGAGGTTTTAAGTTTGTAGAACCGTCATCTAAATGTTCTTATTTCTGGCTGAAGCTCTGTGGCCAGAAATAACGCTTCTGTGGTGGTGAGCTATGACTGCTCTGTGAGACTAGAAACTCAAGTTGCTTTCCTTGACCTGTTGTGGCTCCTTGGTGCTAGTAGGAAAGTCATTCAATTTGCTCCAAAAGCAAGGAGTTACAGCTCTGCATGGAGCAAACCTGTAACTCCTATTGCAGTTGATCTTCTGTCGTAACTGCAATTTCAACTGTGATTAACCCAGCTTCCTTCTACTTTGGTCTGAATGTGTGTTGTTCAGTCTTTCAATAACTCTGATGCTTTTCTCTGTATAGCGATGCCATGTAGTGTGCTAAATGCTGTACAAAACCACAGGAAAAGATCCTTGTGGTCTCTGCAGGTTGTGCTTTCTGGCTATAGTGAAGTTGCCTAAATGTTTGATGGGGTTTTTTTCTTCTGTATCCCAAAAGACTCAAATGTCCTTATTGTGCTAGTGGTTCCTTCTCGTCTTTGAGTAGAATTGCTGTGTCTTTCTGCTCAAAGTTAACGGCAGAGTGCACTTTTGGTGAAGCATGCAGTGGTTAAAATGATGGGCATGGAGAACAATACCAATAAAGGACGGCTTATATGCCAAGTAGAGGAAAAACTACAGTAGGTTGGGAGCGGACTGGGTGTTTGTGACTCTGTGGCACCATCTGTGAATATCTTTTATGTTCACAGTCCTCAGATGAAGAAGTGATCCTCTGCACCCTTTGCAGGGCTATCATTTGAGTTCTCTGCACATCTATGAATTGAATTTCATTTCTTTGAGGTTGTCCAGGCATTTTCATGATTCTGTTAACCCTTCTTCTGTCAACCTGAAGACTAGCAGTCTGCCTCTGCCAATGGGGTGGGATGACTCTGAAATAAAGGCTATCTAGAAAGGCTTCCCCTCTACTCTTTTGTGGTGGTTCAACGCTGGGAGCAACAGCCTGTGGTGGTGGCAGGAGAGGGAGAGTTCTGTCATTGCTCTCAAGCCTGCTGCCTGGGCACTCCTGCCAGCTTACGCTTTTCCCCTATATCATTCTAACCTCTGCATGTTCTCTGGTAGGGTCATAGGCTGGTGTCAGTGAACAGACGAACATCTGTAGAGCGCTGGCAGCCTGCAGCTTGCTTTGCTCCTCGCCGTTCTGAACTGCTTCCTTGTGCTCTGTGTGCACCACTCATTAACAGATGCAACTCCTGTCTTGAATAAGAGCGATCCCTCAATTGCCTGGGAACTGCTGAACAGTTATATTCCCTCAAACCTAATGCCTCTCCTTCTTTATTTCCGCCCCTTACGGCACAGCGCTTCATCTGAACCTTCTAGTTACTGCTCTTCTCTCCAATTAAGGTGACTTCCAAGAAGAAAGAACGCAAGCTCACATCTGATGATGACCTCTCTGAACAGGATGGAGACAATGGCAGGTTCTCTGACGATGAGGTCAGCTGTTCTTTGAACATCACGGATGAAATGAAGCGTATGTTTAATCAGCTGTGAGTATCTTGGATGATGTGGGGAAAACTTATTCTGAAATGCCTAGTCCCAGAACACCTGAGCTGCCAGCATGGTACATACCTGAAGGTTTTCTGGAAGTTTAAATAAAATTAACTGGTTTTTGTTCCTCCCTTAAGTAGGGTTAACTATACAGAATATAAAACCCCCAAATATCTAGTTTTACTACTATATGCTGTTATAACAGTAGCAAAAGAAGAAACATGCAACAACAAAAAAAGTACAAACCTTGAGTCTGTTCTGTATGTTTGGCTGAGCATTAGATTTCTAGAGTTTTGGAAAGAACCTTGCTGCCGCTTGGGCTGGACAGAATTTGGCAACGTCACTGAAAGCTCAGTTCAAAATGGATACAAACTTCTCTAGTATTTTGCATGATTTTTCAGTTCGGCTGCAGGCAAATGGTAGGGGTGGATCTGTCCACTGTTCTAGCAGTGGACAACAGTTTATAGATTCCAAGACTGTCGGTGTTGTAAGACTTGCTGCAAAGTCTGGTTTCCCAAACTGGAAGAATTGCAACTTATTTTCCCTAAAGCTTCACTCCAGACTGGAGTGTTAGGAAGCTTATAGCAGCTGAAAAGAGACACTCAGCACCTTGATGCTACACAAAGCAGTTGAGAAAGCCAGCTGGCAATATGCCCTGCTGTTCTCTTCCCCTGTTCTAGAAATGCTGGAGATCACCATAGCCTGGTGAGGCTTTTGAAGGGTCTCTGCCATTTTCTTTTGGTGGAGGAAAGTCCCAGCAAGTGCTGTAGCTCTGACTTTCCTAGCATTTGAATATGGGTGTCTTTGCCAACTTCTGCAATGACTGCAGAGGGAAGAATTCCCAGTGCTTTCCCACACAATGTAGGACAGTGTTTAATACGTAGGAGTACAAGAAATTGTCTGAGAAGCATTAGCTCCTCTTCTGTTGTCAGCTGTTGCCAAAAGTTCTGTTTTCAGGGGCTGTGTGTCTTTCTGCCTGCCTGAATTTGACATATAGGAGGGCATGTTTTGTGCAAAAGGTGTAGGTAACTCCTCCTGTTAGGACTCTTGTTTCAGATGTCCTTAGGCCGTTATTAACATTCAGTGTGATAAATACAGATTTTTGACTTCTCCACTGCTAGAATTCAGTGTGACAGCAGATAATGTGTGGATTTTTTACAAAAGCAAGAGGCTAAAATTCAGCTGCGAGGTTTGTAATACATTTAGTTTTTAGTTTTGTTCTTAAACCTGTCTTGTGATACCCAGTTTTTATTGGTACTGTTAACGAAATTCTTATCTCCTGGTGGGAGAAAGTGCTGTAGGAATCTTGTGGATGCATTCAAATTGGGTTGATCTAGAGCAGTGTTAGCGGCTGATTGGAGATGGTACATTTCTAAGGACGTCCGGGTTTGGGGGCTTTGTGGAGTAGAAAATAATACCTTGCAAATAGCTGAACAGTTTGCCTCATTAACAGAAACAAAGCAACTTGCATTTTATCTGTAATGAACTTAATCTTTAGGTGTCTAGTAGTAAAATGTCAGCTTTGAACAGCATGTATGTCTGCAGTAAGCAGCAGTCAGGACTGGGAGCCTTTGTGCTCTCTGGCAAAGATAACTTGCAAAAAGAAACTGATTTGAAGAAGCTGAATTGCAAAAGGCACAATCATGTATGTCCGAGCTTATTGGGGTTTTGTAAAATTATCCTTTAAAGTCATGCTGAGTATAGGCAAATAGCCTGTCTCTTTGGCCAAGCTCTTCAGCCTCCTAAAGACAGTACTGGACTCAGCTTCCGGACCGAGATGTTATCTGCTTAAAAGGAAGTGAACTAAAGCAACAAAAATGCATCAGTCTGAAATTAGCAGATGGCTTCTGGGAGCAATTTCAGATTTTTGTCAGGCCTCCTTAACGAGGACAAGAAGCAGCTACTAGTGTTTCGCTCTGCTGCTGTTCAAACCAGAAGGGACTTCTGAAACTTTCCTTTATTGCACAACCGACGGTACTAAAGGAGCTTGACCAAATAACAGTGTTAAAGGCCACTCTTGCCACTGTTTGTTCTCAGTCTGAAGTGGCTGTAGTAGTATCTTTGCTGTTCAAGTCAACGATAAGTATTTATGCTCACCTGCACATAATTTTGGGGTTCAGTTTTTTCATAGTTGTTACTTTTGAAAATAATGTTTTGAAGTGCTGCAGGGAAAATATTGGCTGAATGTCAACATGGAAATCAGCAGGGAGTCTTCTAGTGGCTGTTTCTTGTAAAATTCCGCAAACTGTGTTTGGGCTTATTTTCCCATGTATGAAAAGAATAGTTTAAAACGTTTTTGTGGTTTTGCAAACAGGGGAAACTAATGTGCAGCACCATCTGGAGGACAGAGCTAGGACTGTGTACTTGAACCAGGAATACTAACAAGGATCTTTTTATTCTGCTTTGGGGTGGCAAAGAGCCCAGGAGCGAGGGACTCTGACAGTGGTAAAGCCTGTTTGTAAAAACTGTGGGGAGTTTCAACTGCTGCATTGTCTCCTTCTTTCAGTTCTCATAGCCCCCTTTTTTCTAGAAGATTAATTGAAGAACTGAGGGAGTGGGGCTGGAGTAGTTTTCGCTAATGCTTTTCCTGTTATCTTAATAGGCGCGAGACATTCGATTTTGATGACGACTGTGATAGTTTAACGTGGGAGGAGAATGAGGAAACATTGCTTCTTTGGGAAGACTTCACAAATTGCAATCCTTCAATTGACCTCCAAGGAGAGGTGAGTTTATTTTATTATTTTCTCAAACTATTCTCTGCAGAAACTGTATCCCTCACTGCTCTTTTAGCCATTTGAGCCTTTGGATATTTGACTGGTGATCTAGTTTGCCACGCAAACTTGCTTTGATTTTAAAATCCTCTTAGTGCTTTCTCTCTATGGTTGCTTTTCAGTCTGTGCAATCAATTTATTTGTCAAACTTCATTTCTTCTGCTCTTTCAAACTGAGTATTTAAAAGTATCAAGCAAGTGTCAAAAAAATCCAATGCATCTAGCTGTTATAGGAGCATCACACAATCCATCACCCTAAGCAGTTGGTTATCTGAAGCCCTATACCTTCCACACCATGTCTCATGTTCTCTGTAGATTATCATTCACACTTTAATTGTCAAAATAGTACACATAGTGTGGGGGGTGATACTGCACAGTTATTCTAGTGGGGAGAAAAATAAACTCAGTATGGTCTGTGGAATATGTTAAAGTACATCCAGCCTGTCACAAAGATGCTGAGGTTGCAGGACTGTGTAAAGCCCCAGGGATCTTCTGAACCTGTGAATCTCGTGCTTCCATCTTCCCAGTCAATAGGAATCTCGTGGTACTGGTGGATGATAAACAGCTTGCTTTTAATCCTTAAGATCCCACACAAAGTAAGCTAATGGCTGCATGCTGCCTCATTCAGTGGCTCCCGAGCCTTTTTAGGCAGGCCTAAAGAGAGATAGGAATTGCAAGGTCTGGCTTTGTGTGGGTAGTCTTAAACGTGACGCTATTATTTCATTATTGGGTAGCACGATAGCGGTAGGTAAGAAATAATCCTGCCCTCTTCCATCACCGCTGTAGTGTAAAGGTGCTGAGGCAGCAGTCTCCTGAACGTTGTCTTGTGTGGACTGTCAGGGGTGTGTTAATTTACATCTTCCCATTTGTGTATCATCTGGCATACTCTGAAACTGCGGAGATTACTCAGAAGTGCTGGGACTGCAGAAAGCAGCGTACTTAGCTACATGTCGTCTTTTGAGCAGGGAGAGTGGCAGAGTGATAATGTGTAGCCATGTGCTGGAATTAGTGACAGATTTATTTGCATATACCCATGTGTGCGTGTATAAGCACAGCTATCAGAGGAATATTGCCGAACTCAGACCTTCTGTGCGAGAACTCTAAAGGTTTTAAGAAGCTTAAATCCTTCTAAATGAAAATTATACAAGGAAAGGGTAGATTTGTCTTGTAGATGGAGATTCAGAATAAAGACTGCTCCATCTGTGCCTGGTCTTTAACATAGCGCTTTACATGCCTGAATCTTCCTTCCGCTGGCTTTATTCCTTTCAAGTTCTTACGCGGCGCCCTAGCCACCTTCTTTTATGACCTTCCTCCTTAAAGCACTTCTGCATATAAAAGGATAAGTGGGATGATTCTTGTAACTATGGGCTGGTTAGCCTGATGTTCGTAGCAGGTATGATCCCGATAAAGCTGCGGCAGACGTGGCCAAAGGATGGGAACGTAACTAATGCTCATCAGTGCAGTTGAATTAAATTGATGATAATTTTTTTTTCTGGAAAAAGGAGGTAGGTAATAGCATGAAAGAGAGAATAATTACATTGTTTTAGTCTCTTGGTAACAGTGTGAAATAGTGCTATGAGTTTCGTAGCCCGGACTCTACTGTCAGTCTAAAGCAATGATGATACAGGAGCTGTTGTCTGGCAGGGTGTTTCCTTTGGGACAGCATGTGTTCTTAACGCGTGATATTTTCATCAGTAGTGTGCTGGAGTGAGCTTGCTTTATCCAGCAGTTGAGGGAAGAATTTCAATAGGAAACAAGGCGTGCAGAGCATACGTGTGAGGTAATGGGGACTGAAAGGACTTCAGAGTAATAATATATAATTGGAAAATGAGAATTCCGGTGCAAAGCTCTAAGCAGTGGTGTGGTCAATGCAAGAAAAAATTGTTTCATGGCTGGAGAGCAATTACAGTCTATCTATAAGCGTGATCAGACTGTGAAAGGTTCAGGAAAATCCATAGGTTTGGTTCTTTGGCATGCATCAGGTATCTGTGTTTAATTGCTGGAGCCTTGGTCTGTAGGTTCCTTTATCTTTGTCTGTACAAAGCCGTGATCGTGGTACAAAAATGTGTTTCCTGGTACGTCAGTTTTAAGAAGCAGGCTATTACTTGCCTATGTAAAAATGTATTTAAAAAAATCTTTGCATGGAAGATCATAACAACCTGCAGTTTTGAGTGAGGTTAAATAAGAAAATCTTCAGTCTACTACTGAATTCCTTGTTAGTTTCTTGCTAATTCTTTGTGTTCTCCTTTCCCCCACAGGAAGAAAACCTGGGAAACTTGATCCACGAAACAGAGTCTTTCTTTAAAACGAGAGACAAGGAATACCAAGAAACAATAGGGCAGATAGAGGTAAGGAAGTTGTTCATGACAATATTAATTGTTTCTAATGGAGAAAACCAGGCGCGGTGTTCTGGTCCAGTATACCCACAGAGGGAATGTGGAATGTCTGTACATCTAAGAATGCAAAGGCATTTTCCTTTGACATACACTTGTGGGTTTTTTCTAAATACCGTTCTCTGTACAGCCTTATTATGGAGTAAGCATAAATCTGTGGCTGGTGGAAAGAGAACCTTTGGAACAAGAAGAGTAAAATGCATTATTATTCTTTCCCCTATTTGTCACACTGGGAAATGCTTTACAAGATGCGGCCTCAGAGGTTGCCAGACACAACAGCTGTAGCTTCTCAAAGTCTTTGCCCTGCCTAGAATATGCTTTCACTCATTACTGCATGTTGACAAACAAGATGCCAGGCAGCAGAAAAAACTTGAGGGCTGTTTAAAAACAGTGTGGAGCTCTGATTAAAATATACTTCATAAGCTGATGAATACACTGGCAGTATACAGCACTGAGGTTAAGCATATATTGTGCGGGTGTTTTGCATTGGCTCTGGGCAGCTTTAGCATCCCCAGCAGTATGTAAAATTGAGCAAAGCTGGGAGAAGCTGCTAGCAACTTGCCTTAGGCTGATTATTTTCTCTTATTTCTTACAGCTGGAATTGGCCACAGCCAAGAGTGACATGAATCGCCACCTTCATGAATATATGGAAATGTGTAGTATGAAAAGGGGCCTGGATGTACAAATGGAAACCTGTCGTAGGCTTATCAAAGGCTCAGCTGACAGGTAATAAGATATTACCATTCTGCCTGGGGTGCTTCAAGAATTTATTTTGCTCTTGTTTCCTGCCAAGTTGTCTAAAGGCAGTAGTATCATTTTGTCCTAAAGCTTTGTCCTCCAGATAATCTTGTTTTGTTCAGGGTCAAATACCAGTCTCAAAAGGAACCCTGTAACAGTGTATAAGTTCCTACACACAGTAACGCTTTTAAGGATTCAGCACCTATTAGTAAAACTCGGAATGTCACCAATGGGACTGTGTAAATGGACTTGCCTCTCTTCTAACTCGGACAGACTCTTAGTCTTAGTGTTATAGACCTAGAACTCTTCAAACAAACAAACCAACCCCCAAATTAAATCTTGACTATGGACTTGCACAAAGACCTTGTGTTTTAATCTTCTCGTGCGTTAAGAATCCTATAGTGTGAGGGATTTTTTTCTTCTCTTGCTTGGCCCTGTAAAGATCCTGGCTTAAAAGAAGTTGATGATGATTTTTTTTTTTTTCCAGTTTTCAAGACTGTGCTTATTATGGATGATGAGAGCCTCTGTAGTATGTTCATTGGACTTAGATTGCATCTCCTATCCATAAACCTAGGGCAGCCTTTGTCTGCATAGGCAGTGGTGGGGTGGCAGCACACATGCTTAACTTTACTACTGATATTTACTGTTAACCCAAAGTTTAATGTTAATAAAGGACATTTTAAATTGTTTTGGGAAGTGAAAGCAACCATTTTCTTTAAAGGTATCTTTTTTTTTTTCCTTCTGTCACTGATAGTTAATTTTTTTGTCTAAACTTTTCTCTGAATTTTTTCTACAGGAATTCTCCATCTCCCAGTTCTGTAGCCAGCAGTGACTCAGGAAACACAGATGAAATTCAGGATGAGTTGGACAGAGAGACGGATGTGGAGCCCATGGTCAGCTGATACGTAGCTGGAGCTTTCCAGTGAAAGGGAAGACACAAGAAAAGATAAAAAAACAGTACACTGATGGGGGGAAAAAACAAAAAAAGACTTGTAAGCCCTTGCACAGGGTTTCTAAGGACTCATTCCTACACGCATCCCCACCCCACCCAAGGATTGGTGCTGTAAATTTCTATTGTTATACAAATCATAAATGCAGAGTCCTGTAAGAAAACATGGTGTTTTAATTGTGCCTTTGCCCCAAGCTGAGCCACTTTGAGCTCCAGTGGAATATTAATAGCAGGTGTTTTTATAAAAAAATATTATTTAAAAAAAATCTGGTAGCAGCAGAAAATGGTGCTGCAAAGGCTCTGGGTATTTCAATAAGCTTACGGTTTTATTGAACTGCTGCACTGATTGGCAAAAGGAACACTGGCAAAATGAGAAGTGAACCCAGCACAATTACGGTACAATTACCAATGTCTGGCACAAAAAAGAATGCCTCTAAATTGAACTGTAAACATTTGAAAATAATAATGGGTTTAGAAGACAGCTTTTAAGATTAAGCAGTTATACAATATTAAAAGGAATTCTTCATTCCATGTTTTTGGGTGAAGGAGCCTTTGAGATTTGTACAAGCTTTCTGCTAGACTCCAGAATCGGACAACGCAGGTCTCAGCTCGGTGGCAAAGCAGGTGGACAAAGGAGGGTTCAGTGGGGTGGGACTATCACTGATAAACTACTATGCAAAAAAAAAAAAAAAAAAAAAGCTCGCCTTATTTATATGGAATGTTTGGTCCCTGCTGAGCTACAGTTATCTCTTGGGGAAAGGAAAGCTAAAACCACATTTGCACATGTTCGTTATCTGTAGAGCTTCTTTGAGGAGGAATGTCGTATTACAATGCCTTTGTTTCCAGTGATTGGATTAAGAGGGGAATCAGCCCTTCAGTTCCCGTGTCGTTTTGTGTTTTCTTTTTTCAGGATTTTTTTTTTTTTTTGAACCATAGTGTTTGCAGATATTACTTTGCTGACAGGGAGATAACTCCATTTTATGCTGCTTTCATGATGTTTAGAGTGGGATAGATGAAGCATCAGGATAAACTGACATGCAGTGGCATAGATGTAGGCTTGAGATGTGACACTGGGAGAGTTCCAGACCACTGTTTTTCGGAAAAGCTGAACATCAGAAAATACTGTAATCCTTTTTAGGGCATAGTAAAATGAATCCCAAACTACTGCTGCCCTAGAATTAGGGAAGAACAGCCATGTGCTTTCTCTGTGAGAAAGTGAGAAGACCTAGGCTTTGTCAATCTTTCTATATTTTTACAGAGGAGAAAGCAGCATCAAAAGTCAGATGACTTGGTGGTATTTGAGGAAACTCTGGCATCATCAAGCTGTTCATGGTTATTAACGGGAATTGTAGCACCTCAGCCAGGTAAAAACAGGGTATAAACCTCAGCCAATAATTTTTTTGTTTGTTTTTTAGACCAAGATTGAAAGTGTAGTTAATACTGCCTAAAGGTAACTGTGTAGTTCACTAGCAGTTGCAAGACTTGGAGTAAATACCAAATGTATTTTTTTTTCTGCCAGGAAGCTTAGAAATTGCTGTGTAGGAGTAGTGCTAGGACTGGACAGGGAAATACCCGATTTAAGCACCCCCTCAGTGTTACGTAAAGGTAAGCTGGCCAATCTTTGTAGCTTCCTGAGTATTGTTTCCAAGCCTCTCTTAAGTGTTGATCTGAAATCGGTGGGGTTGCATTGTACGCATACAGCCAGTATAGATCAGCGTTGCTTTCTTCCGAAAAGAGCACAAGTCTCGGCAGATGGCGCGTTCCTGGGCAGAAATGCCTCTCCGTCTTGCACAGCTATGCAGAGGGGCAGGACCTCAGGGGGTTTCTGCTCACACTGCAACGGCGGGTACAGTAATGTCTTCCCAATTTGAGTTTCCTGTGTTGCTGCCTGGAGTTTCATCGCTGTTCAGATCCGTCTCCTGCTTGGACACGCTGGTGCTTTTAGGCCACGTTAACCCAATGGGCTCCCTGTGTTTTTCAGAGTGGGGAGGAACACTGGGATGATCCATCTGGATCCACAGTGCGGAGGCCATGATCCACAATCAGTGGCTTCTGTCCAAGAAAATGGATCCAAGGATATTCTTTTGGTTTGCTTACCGATTGAAATACTCAGTGCAGTTATTCATAGGGGAGCTAGCAACTTCTTGGTTCTTGTGGTGTGGGTTAGGGGCTTTTTCAAAGCCTGTTTCATCATATAGACATAGATAACTTTTCTCTGGAAAAGAAACCTTATTCCAAAGTGCTCGTTCGTATTATTTCTTAGGTGGCCAAAGTGGTAAATGCCATGTTCACTAGGGCTGCAAGTTGGGGTGGGTGGGTAGGGCAAGAGATGTGATATTTTTTTGAGGGGGCTGGGACTGCATGTTTTCAATAAAGTACTCTTAAGGTTTTCAAGCCTGTATGAACTTCAGCTGCTAATATGTAGTTTCTCACGAGGCTGAGAAACCATCTGCCAAAGCTGAATGTCTGTAATGCTTTAGTGACTTTGGTGGAGGCGTTGTTAAGCAATCTACTTGCACAGTGAATCAGCCTTGTCGGAGGCTGTCGTTCAGCTCTCAATTATGAAATGCTCTTTGGTACTGGAGAAACTGAGCAATTTTATCCGCCGTCCGGCTTAGCTGCTGTTTTGGGTTCTCTTTTTTTTTTTTTTTTTCCTTTTTCTCTAAAACTCAGTTGTCTTAGTAGGGAAAAGACTGAGTGTTCTTGAAACTAGTAGCTGGTATGTTGAGGGTAGGAAAGAATATCCTCGGTTTGACAGTGAGCGCCAAGTGAGGAAGCAGAAATTGAGCTGTCGAAACAAGCTAGCTGTAACCTACAGTTTATCTCGTAGCCATAATTATGAGGAGCATCTGTAATATGTTTTTGTTGGTAAGTGTAAGGGATGTGGGTCTATAGTAGAGGGTATAGAAATAATGTGTACGATGGTGATGTGTATGACTGTAAATTACCATGGTTATTGGTGTCTGTTTCTTATAACCATATGTAATCCATTTTTAAAGAAGAAAAGGTGTTTTCGTAGTTGGGATTGGGGTTTTATTTTCATTTAGGCTGTGTAGGACTCAGTGGATCGACCTTTCGGGAGTTAGGAGGGTTGGTCCTTGATAGTTTCCCTCAGAGGTCTTTGGTTCAGTTTCAAGCGATGCTGCTGAGTTAGCTGACAGTGGTCCTGTTCTGTTTGCGTTTAACCACTCTGTAGAAACCAGATCAAAAGCTTGCCAGAAGAAAATTGTGAAAATGCTGGAAATGATTTTGATGACCTCTTTCTTTTTCCTTTGTAAAGCTGTAAATACTTTATTTTTGTTTTCTATTCTTAATGCGGTGTCATATTGACACTTTTTTAGACTTACAATCAGAAAATCCTCCTCATTGTTTCTCATTTTTTAAAAGGGGATTTCAAGGAAGCAAATTTTTTTGCTTGTTAGCAGTGTGATAATAGATCAAATTCCTAAAATGGGTTTGTACAAAAAATGTTTTCAGTAAACAAGTGGCAGTTGCTTTTGTGGATGCATGTTCAAAAACGTCCAAAGAATAATGTGGTACCAACGTTTTTTCAAAGACTTAGTAATTACTCATATTAGTTCACACAACAAAGAAACAAAAGTCTTTAGAAAAAAAAAGTGTCGGGGGGAGGGGGGGAATGTAATGAAACTTATCTAAGCTAAATGTGTAATCTATTTATAAAAAACACAGTATATATTCTATTTTTATTAGAGGTTTTTAAAGTGCAAACAGAATTCTGTTAGCAAATGCAATTATTCCCTTGTAAAGTATCTTCTGCTCCGACGGGACTCCAAATTCTCGAACGGTTTCAAGCGACAACATGGAAACCATCTAACACGTGTGGCTGTGAAGCACTCGCCCATCGCTCCCTCAGAGCAAGAGAGGGGGGAAGGAAAACAGGTTAACAACTTCTCTGTGACTGCAGAATTACTGCTGTTGCCCCTGTTGGTGTTTTTTCTTCCCCTGATTGCGAGGCATTCTGCTGGCGAGGGTCAGGACCTCGTTTGCTCCCCTAAATACCAGGGGCGACTGCAGCACAGTACTGTTAAAATCTGCCCCAAAGTGGGTTTTGTGTTCTACCTGGTTGGAAGATAAATTGTGTTTGTCTACACCAGTATAAATTGGAATTAACATGATGAAACAAAATAATAGATCAGACTCGTGCCTGAATATAGATCTAAAGCTGCTAATACGAGATTATTTTTTTTTTTTGCATAACCATTCCTGCCAGCAAAAATACAAGTTGGGTCCAAGGTTGGCTGAGGAAAAGCCACGGCGATCGGTGGGTGCTCACAGCCTTGCCACAGCGCTGCGGTCTCTGTAAAGCAGCTATTTCCTTATGTTTCCCTTGGCTTTGGAATAATGTAGAAGAATGTTTGTGTTGGAGCATGCGAGGAAGAGAATTGCAGTACTGGGAAGTCTCTGACTGTGTTTCACGTTTGAGCGCTTCATTTTAGAGCTGAATGTTTAAAGCATGGTTTATCACAGCAAAATTAAGAAATGATAGTGCTTCCGTGGTATAATAATACCCCGATCAGGATTTTCCACATATTGCTTCAGGATTTCTGGTGTTCTATTCTTTTGCACTGGTCCAGGACTTGGTTGCAGGGGAACACGCAGGTTTTAAAAATGTTTGCCTTCGGTGTTAAGTCACCCAGATTCTTGATTTTTAAGCTTGTAGTAGAACGTAACCTCTGTCAGTTTAAGATCTAAATGAGAAATTGCCAATCATGGCAACACGTCGTATCCTGGTGTTAATAGCGCTGGGTTTAGAGGTGAACTAGAAACACTACCTGCCAGATTCTCAGTTCAGTCCCTTGCCAACCCGTTTCTGGAGAGGAAAACCCCGAAGGCTTGAACCCAAGTCTTTGGCAGAGTAGTGAAGAAACACTTGATTATTTCTTTTTGTCTGTTTTTGTGTGTGGTTCAGTGTCTTAAGACCCTTCCGCACCTGCGGGAGCCTTTCAAAGCTTCTCTTTTGAAGAAGCAACAAATTCTGTTTAAGAAGTGGGGTATTTGATGCTTCTAGAAATCACGATTCCCTCCTAATTTGAGGCACTCCAACAGTGAAGCACTTGTGTAAGCAAAGGTGGTGCTTGTGGGTCTGGCTGGCTCCATCTTTGGAGGAAATAATTGTATTAATGTTTAAAAAAATCGCTGGGGTGGCTTCAAACCTGTGTCATTTCCACGGCAGAACACCCTGGTAGCACTGTGCCACAAGCCTGTGGCTGCCCAAACTGACAATCCCTGCACGGATTTCACCTGAGATCCTAAAATCCCTTTTTTATTGGTGTTGAGGATGATTAAAAGCTTGGTCACTAGACACACTTCTTGCGTGACGTGGTTTCACCAACAGAGTGAAGTGCAGTGAAGTTCTGCCAAAAATGATTATTTATTACATGCGATGCAGTCCTTAAAACACCGCACCCGCGGCTACAGTGTATGCAGTGAAGTTCTGCCAAAAATGATTATTTATTATTTAATGTGTTTAAGTGGAGGGTATTGATGGCTCCTTCCCCATGCTGTGTCACTTCTTGTCAGTTCCTCTTAGGTCATGTAAGAATTTCTTTTATACACATTAAACCAGACTACTGATCAATGTGGAAATGAACCTGTTTACCGTACTGTTGTAAATATTGTGCTTTATATTCTGTATATTAGCTTCTTTTAAAGAAAAAAAAAAGACTTAACTGATGATGCTGTTTGATCTCTGGTGAGGAAAGGACGAAGGATGAACCAGCTCCCACGCTTGCTCCGGAGTCGAGATGGAAATCGATTTTCCCCTGTGGCTGGCAGTCTGTCCTGGGTGTCTGTAAGCAGACCGAGCGGTACACATGCTTACTGGCGCTGGATTTTGGACCATCAAAGGCTTCGGAAACCTAATCCGCTTCAGCAGGGACCCTGGGAAACACCCGCAGCCAGAGCCAGAAGCATTCGCACTCCTCTGGGTTCCAGCGGATTATCTCCATTTTCCTCTTTTAGTGCCAAAACCAAGCCCACCGACCCTTCCAGCTCTGCTCTCTGCCTCCCCCTACACCGCTCTGGTCTCCCATCCCGCGTCCGTCTGTCCATCCGTCCATCCTGGGCCATGCCGCCCCTAGAGCTGTGCATCCTTCGTCCCTCGACCCATCGGTCGCGTACCCCCCGGGCGTCTCTGCGCAGAGGGGCGTGCGGGAGCTTCTCCATGAAAACGGGTTACAGTTGTTCTCTGGTTACAAGGAAAAAAAAATCCTATAAAATAAATACCAAACTCCTGGTTCATGCCTGTGCGTGTTAATTCCGGGGTGGCCAAAGCTGCATTTGGAGCTGGAGGGGACGGGAACCTTCCTCTCTCCCTGGCCCCCAGCCCAGCGGTGGGCAGGTGAGGTGGGGTCCTCAACATACCCCAAGCCCCCCTAAAAATGAGGGGGGTTCAGCTTCTGCTCTTGCAATGCTGATATCCCTTGTTCAGGCAAAACCACCCCAGGCCCACCCCAACCCCCCCTGCCCGGGGCCCGGCCGCCC